GATATTAGGACCCGGTGGTACGCAGCCTCCTCTGCACGCTCTCCGCTCTCCCAAAGGCCGCGGCAGGGCGCTTCATTCATGACTCTGTATGAACCAAGTCACCCGGGAGCTTCCCACGGCTGTGAGCTCAGCGTGCAGGAATCTCAGCTCCAGTTTCTGGTTTCCAGCTGGCACACACACCAGGTGTGTGAACGCCGTGCTGCTGGTTACTACAGGCTCAGTGACGTAGGAAAACAGACCTCGGTGCAGCTGGGAACAGCACACACTTTACCTCAGGCTGTAGCCTGTACCGGATGCATGTGGACGTTGGACTTTAGAGGACCAGTAGCTCTTGTTCACAGCTGTTAGTGGTTCTGATAAAGTTTGTAATAATTTGGCTAATCTTCTATTTTTCTGTAGATACTTAAGGTATTAAATTTGAGTAGTTTGGTAGTGGATGATTGTGACTAAGAATGCTGTTGTGGTTGTATCCAGCACAGTTATTCTGCTTTCACAGATTTGCTCAGAGCCTAATAAAGTTTGGTTTCTCAGGGCAAAGATGCAAATCTGATTACTGAAGAGGAAAATCCAGATATGAAAAAAAAGTGCTGTCTAGCACTCTAGTTGTGTAGACGAAGTCTTGGCGGATGCGTGCAGCCTCTTGCTGCAGCGCAGAGCGTCCCACTCAGTTGGGTGACATCAGCCTCTAATTCAGGCCTGTAAATGGGCCAGCGAGGTGCCTCCTCCTCTCAGTGCTGCAGCAGGAGATCTCTGCAGCTCTCTGACGCACTTTGTGTCTGTTCTGCGGCTCGGAGACAAAGTGAAGGTTGATAATGTCAGAAGAAGGCAGGAAGGAGGCAGCGAGCTGATGAACCTCAGAGCTGATGGCATGTCGTTGTGCAGGTGAAAGCATGCCCAGAGGCGATGAGCTGCTTTAGTGCTGTTGGTTTTGGAAGCACAGATTTCTTTCTTACCATCTTGCGTGCAACTTAAAATGCAAGAGAAACACTTGGGTTAGATCCTAAAATCCAAACTAAAGTAATCCTTTGTGCTTTCCTTGCACTGTGGAGGTTGTGGGCTTTCTTTCTGTTAATGCTGAGGAAGGAAGGGTGTGCGGTTTTAAACCGAACACTCACAGTGACCTCTGGTGTCTAAAACCTGCAGCACAGTTATTGCATTATAGGGGCAAACCTTTCCAACCTGGGAGGTGATTCAAAGCTGCGTTAATGCCTTTTCTGAGACTCCAAGACACACGCTGTTTATCTCTTATGGTGGGAGCATAAGCCTGCTCAGGAGCTGTCTCAGCAGTTCAACAGCATCGATGCATCATCTCAGAATATTAATTCACTAATGTACTTGTTAGTGATTCAGACTGTTTTTATCTTTAAAGAACACGCGTGTGGTTTATAGCAGCGGTCCCGTTTGGTACCAGGCCGCGAGAGTTGAGGCTCGGGTGTGAAATTTATGGTTTTCGGGGGTTTTATCATTGTTTTGTTTTTTTTTTTTATCGTTTTTATCGTTAACTCTGTTTCCCTGGGTATTTTCCTGTGTGTTATGAATAAATGCTCTTTTTTTGGTTCCCGGTACTGGTTTTATTTTGTTGTATTTATCTGCAACACCTTAAAGGCCGGTCCGTGAAAATATTGTCGGACATAAACTGGTCCGTGACGCAAAAAAGGTTGGGGACCGCTGGTTTGTAGTATGTTTCCATCACTAAAAACCCCTGATGAGCTTTTCTTTTCCTTGAAAACCAGAGTTCAATTTAAAGGTGCTTGCTTCTTCCTGTTTCTGTTGTCAGCCGGAGAGAATAGACCCCAGCGCGTCCCGGCAAGGTTACGATGTCCGCTCAGATGTCTGGAGTTTGGGAATCACACTGGTGAGTTTCAGCTCTTCTTACGTCTCTTCGGGTCCTGAAAGAACCTGGACAAATGACTGTGGAAATTGTATTACATATTTTGCATGTTGTTCTTTTGGTGTAGAAACTGAAGCACAGGAACGTGTACAGAGGGCATCGTTGCAACAAATCCCTATTGAAGGCAAACAGAGTCAGCCTTAAGCTAGTATCAACAAATACTTTAACAAGACTTAAATTTCTTGCAAACTGAATATTAAACTGTTAGATACAGTGGCAGACTTGTTCTAAAACCAGTCTTCGTGGATTACATCTCGTATGGTGGTACACTGGTTGGCATCCTAACCTCACAATAAGAGGGTTCTGGATTCACATGCAGGCTGCACGTTCTCCCTGTGCTTGCACAGGGTTCTCTGTACTCGGTGCTCCAGCTTCCTCACACTGCACCTTCAGCACACACAGACCAGAACAAAGGAAGAAAAGGCAATCGCTGAAAGCCTCATGGTTTCCAGAGACGGCGCGACCTTTCTTTTATTAGGCCCATGATGACAGTGCATACAGTATGAGCAATAAACCTGCACCATAATCATTGTTGGAGGTCTGAAGTTCACCTTTAAACCGTTAGCACATTTAAATATAGTGTGGAGTAGCAGCTCTGCTCTCTTCTCTAAACAAAGATGCTTTGTGCAGTAAATGTTTATTAATAAATAAAACAATCTGCAGAAAATGTTGGGATTTACGCCATATTTGTAGTTTTCCGCTCTCAGTGTGCTTGAACTTTAATGCCATGTGTTTCAGTATGAGCTGGCCACGGGACGGTTTCCCTACCCAAAGTGGAACAGTGTGTTTGATCAGCTGACTCAAGTGGTGAGAGGAGACCCGCCGCAACTCAGCAACTCGGAGGAGAGGCGCTTCTCCCCCAAATTCATCGCCTTTGTCAATGTGTGGTAAGAAATACCTTCATAGACAAGAATTTCTGTCTCTTTGTAGTCTGTGCTGTGTTCTCTTCTGCCCCCCGGTGGATTAATCACTGAACTGCACCCTCCCATAATTTAACACCTCTGCTTTCTTTCTCATCTTCGTCTCAAGCCTTACAAAGGATGAATCAAAAAGGCCAAAGTACAAAGAGCTGCTGGTGAGTTCATGTTGAGTCACCCTAACCTTTCACGTTTTTCTTTTTCTTCTAGGAGTTTGAGTTAATGTAATAATTTGTTTCTTTTTAATCCACCTCAGAGAGATCCGTTCATTCAGATGTACGAGGAGCGCTCAGTCGACGTAGCCGGTTACGTCTGCAGGATCCTGGATCAGATGCCGGCCTCTCCCAGCTCCCCCATGTATATGGACTGATAGCAAGATGAAACAGGAACTCCTCCATAAATATAAACCACTCTGCAATGACAGCATCAAAAAGAGATAACTAAGTAATTAAAAAAAAAAAAAAAAAAGTCCTTGTGTAAATTTGCTCGGTCCCATTATTGCAGTGTTAAAAAGAGAATTGTAAAGCCTAAAAAAAAAGAAAAAAAAAAAGCACCACGTGCAGTAAAAGTGGTGTCCTTTCAGTCATTTCTGTATATTAACACACTTCTGTTTCTTTCTTGTTCACAAACGCACAGACGCACAGTCACCTAAATATTAATAGCAGCTGAATCAATCAATCATGACTCGTCCTGATCAGGATACATCTCAGTGATTTAGTAACAGTGATTTTAAAGAGAGGAGAAAAAAAAACAAACCCTGGAACTTGTATTTATAGAACCAAAAATCGTGGAGACTCTTCGACATACTGGAATTATGCTCTTTGTGAAATGTTCCCACCTCTTCATGTAACGAAAGCATCGTGTTTGGTATCTTAATGGAACTGTGCTTCTCTGGGTATAAAGCAGTTTAAAAGTGTTGGTAGTCAGTCATGTTGGACCCGCAGTCCACTCAGTGCTCGCTGTGCAGTGGACTCTAAGCTGATTTATGAATAAAGAGAGAGAAGGTTAAAGGTGTGTTCTGCCTCTTTACTCTTACAGTGTCTGTTCTGCCTGGATCCAGGTGACCTGCACCTGCAAAAAGACACAATTTAAGGAGAAAAATGTAATATATTAAATTATGCCATGTGCCATACAATTCCTAGTGAATCTAGAAAAGCACAAAACGTTCAGATGCTAAGACTATGACTGTGATTTAAACAACTTTTTGATGTGTACAAATACTGTTAACTACTTCTAGCTGTTTACTTGTAATTGTGTTGGTTCATACTGTAGTTTAACTTTATGAGTTTAATGGGGTGGTAGGAATATTATTGACATGTATGCAAAACCTAAAGTAGTGGCGAAACGTACAGTAACAGGCACTGGGTGGAACAAAGAGTCACAAGAAACTACTTTTTGTCTTTCCAGTTTAGAAGGATTATTTTCTTAGAACTAGTATGGATTGCTCATATTTCAGTGGTAGATTAACTGATGCAAGATCTCCAGGGTCGCATGCAGATAATCAGATATCAGCAAGGTATCAGGAACCCTGAAACCCATATTGTGTGTAGTTTATATTATGTAACATGAGCTTTATGTAAAAGTTTAATAATAATTGTGTATTAATAAGACTGATAATAAACTCAAATCAATATAATCTAAAAATTGCTTACATGCACTAAATTTAGTGATTCTGTTTTTTGTTTTTTTTAATAGAATTTTCGGTTTTTAAAGAGCTAACCATGTGTAATTTAACATTTAGGCGTTTTATTTTGAAATACCTTGTTTACGTTAAGCACGTCTTCAAGAAGAGGCTCTGTTCCCGCCTCTGTCTCTGAAAACCCCGCTCTGATTGGTCCGCATCTCTGCCAAACAATCTCGGGCACCAATCGGCATAAAGAACTGATAACGTCATCACTAGATGCCGGAAAAAAAATTGTCACATGTGTCATCTACGGTGTCAACCAACTTGGTAGCCCTTGTGGAATGAGCCGAGACCGTCTGTTGGGCAATTAATCGATCAGAAAGAAGACAGTAATGTTTAAGTGAGACTAACTCAGCGCGTTTACATGTGATTAATCGGTACGCTGTGGTTTGAATGACTGCGGGAGACGATTAGCATGAACAGGCTCCATGTGAGGCTCTGGTACTTCACGTCGCTGTTTGTGAACGACAGGACTCTCTCTGCTCCTGTCCGCTGTGATTCTTCTCTCCATCGGACTGCTTTTCAGCTTTTTCGGACCATGGCCACCACTACCACTAACAACAAAAACAATTTACCGAAGAAAGCCAAGCAGAAGGAGCCGCTGCGCAGAGTGAAAACCAAAGAGAACCGCAGCAAGCGAGGAGACGTTCACGGACCGTCCACTGTGTACCTGCAGGTGGTCGGAGCTGGAAGCAGAGATAATGCTGCGTCAGTTTACGTATTCTCCGAGTTCAACAGGTACTTCAAACCGTCTGAAGGCACTTTGGAGCACATTTTTTGTGCTGCTGTATGTTAGAAAAAACTTGACTTTTTAATGTACCTCACTGTAAACACACTTGCAAAAATAGCAGGCATTAACAGCAGGTCAAAGCGATGCTTTCCCTGGGCTCCACTTTACTGCAGTGATGCAGAGAAAGCTACACTTTTCACTTTGTTGTGGATCCTCGAGTCCTCACCTCATATCTAAGTTCTCCTCAGGAGAGGAGTCGAGACAGGTGTTTAACAAAATGAGACATCCTTTACTTCAAACTTTATTCGCCTTCGCACCTAAATGAACTTGAGTGTCATCCCATTCTTAATCCTTAGGGTTTGAGCTAATGTCAGCCCAACATTTGCAGCGGTAGCAGCTTCAATTCTGGGAAGGCTTTCCACGGGTTTGGGAGTGTTTATAGGAATTTCTGACCACTCTTTCAGAAGTGCATTTGTGAGGTCAGACATGGCTCCCACAGACCAGCACCGAGTTATATTTGTATTTAATGGATTAATTGTAAGTTTATGAGATTGCATCAGTTTATTGGAAGACATGAATACACACGAATCAGTGTATATTTATCAAGTCAAGTGGCTTTATTGTCATTCTAACCATGTGCAGTGGTACAGTACACAGTGAAATGAGACACCGTTCCTCCAAGACCGTGGTGCTACATATGACATATAACAGACAATCAACACAGGGGGGGTTGCACACAAGTGCAAGTGTGCAACAACCCCCCCAAACAAACAGTGCAACACCAGACAGAACAGAACGATAAGACACAAAACAGTGCGATAGAAAAGTGCAACAATGACGACCTCCACGTGGACAGCGATCTCTCTGTGCTCTCCTGAAGTCATCAGTCATCTCTTTTGTTTTGTCCACGTTCAGAGACAGGTTGTTGACTCTACACCAGTCCGTTAGCTGTTGCACCTCCTCTCTGTGTGCTGATTTGTCGTTCTTGCTGATGAGACCCACCACAGTCATGTCATCTGCAAACTTGATGATGTGGTTCGAATTGTGCATTGCTGCACAGTCGTGAGTCAGCAGCGTGAACAGTAGTGGGCTGAGCGCACAGCCCTCCAGTGCTCAGTGTGGTGGTGTTGGAGATGCTTTTACCGATCCGAACTGTCTGAGGTCTCTCCGTCAGAAAGTCCAGGATCCATTTGCAGAGGGAGGTTTTCAGGCCCTGTAGGCTCAGTTTTCCAATCAGGTGTTGTACATATGTGTCTTTATCATCCAGGTGGGTGAGGGCAAGATCTAGGGTGGTCTGCACATTCTCTGAGTACTCTCCCAGGAATGTTATCTGGACTAGCAGCTTTCTGTGGGTTAACTCTGCAAGGGGTTTTTCTCACGTCAGCCAAGGTCGAGATGATTTCCTCACCAACACGTCATTCTGAGCAGGAGCGAGGGGAGGCGTCACCATAGCAGGCAGGTGTCGTCTACCTGTAGTTGATGATGGCCGTAAACTGGCCGTTGGTGCTTTATGAGTGCTATATTCTGTTTTTCTATTAAATAACCTTAAAAAAGACCTTGTGGTCAGGTGCCTCCTCAGTACTCATTTGGGTTTCCAGGTCTGCCTGACAGACTTCTTTGAGATCTCATCCAGCATCCAAGTGTCCAAAATAGCCTCAGATCAGATGCTAGAACCACAAAGTCAATCACTGACCTTCTCATAGACTGGATAAAAGATGAACATAGAACATTAAACCTGCCTTTGGCAGGGGGAGTGGGGCGCTCCCTTTGTTCGGTGACCTCGGGACACATTTTGCTGACTGGTTTTGAGGCTAAACATGTCTGTTGTGGTTATTACTGGAGGCAGAAAGATGTTTCTCCTTGATGAGGGTTAGCCAAGTATTTAGCCAATCAGCATGAGACATCCCTGGTTTCTCACGCAGCTCCTGTAATTTCTCATACAGTATCTGGCTCA